CAATGAGTCAGTCAGTCAGCCGTCGCAGATATTCGCCGACGAGAACGATTTCTCGCCGTTAACACCAAGGGCGAGCTCGGAACTTTTTCCTATTTTCTTTCTTTTCGTCCCGGCACCGATCTCGCGTGTCTTCGCCTTCTCCCATATCGGGCTGTATTACACACGCGCGGCGTCATCGCTCACGCGTCGTTTCCAATGGGAATTTTAATTATACGATATACCTGGAACCGCGGCGATCCAGGTATCCAGCCGCGCGATCGCTTTAACACTAGAACTACCAGCCAAAACGACTGGTTTTACAATTTTATTTTAAAATTTCTATTTCACGTTACACTTTTTCACCCCGCAATGACGTAATGACTTTTGCAGTGATAACTAAAGAAATAACGTGATGAATTTTTATTTTATTTCTATTTATTAGAAATCGAAATAATTTTGTATCGTGGCCGTTTATACCGATACCAGTCAAAATAACTGGTACTTGTCAAAGTGTAAAATAGTCCTACAATCTGTTTACCGAACCCGAATTAATCGGTTTCGTACAACTTCTCATACATTTTTAGAATTTATATTATCAGAAGAATTGCGCATTTTCTTTACTAATTGACGACCATATGCTTGAACGTATAATATCTCGCACGGAATTAGAAGCTTCTCGAGTTTTTAAACTCGATAAAAAGATTTGGAATTTTGTATGCACGGGACAAAAAATTTGGAACTTTCATATTTACGGAACAGAAAAATGGGGACCAAATTTCTTTTCCAATACCGTGAAATGATTTTATCGAAATATTGAGATTTATTCGCTTTGATAAAAAAAAAAAAAAAAAGTGACGGAATCAACGTTTACAAAGTGATAAGTTTACTTTGATATCAGCTGTATGGGATAAGTTCATTTAAAATAGTCAGAGTTGCTAGGTGCAAATATTACAACTGACAAACAACTCTTTCCATCTAAAGCAGATTTCTTCAATATTTGTCGAATAAAACCGACAAATTTGGTATTAACTGTACTATGTAACGTGGGATTTCTAATCTCTCTCTTTTGTAAGAAAGTAATAAATCAATAAATATAAAAATATTCTATTATTACGTTCTTTTTTTAAATCAGTCATTTTGAATCAATAAATCAATAAATATAATAATATTTCAATAAATCGATAAATTCAATAAATTAATAAATATAAAAATATTCTATTATTACGTTCTTTTTTTAGATCAGTCATTTTGACTGGTTTTGGTAAGAAATAGCTTCGTCTTAACTGTCGGTAGTTCTAGCGTTAAGCTGTTCCTGTGTCGTTCTTCGATTAATCGCACCTGGCAGTTTCAAGCAGAATCATCTATTCCAGTAATCCTGGCGACTATATATACCACACCGAGCTACCGCACAATGAACAAACGAATCGCGAATTCTGCACGATAAATGACAGCGACGTTGTTAGTTAACCAACACAGTTCTCCGCGCGACGATAAGCGGCGGAGAGCTGTCCGTTTCCACTTATGGCCATGGTGGTCCGCTTTATTCCTCTCCTCGAGGTCGAATAACATTAATCGTAACGAAAACCGAGTGAGTGAATCAGCGGAACAGTGAGGAGAGACACGCCGTGTTTCCTGTAGAATGGGGTATTTTTTTTTCTCTCTCTTTTTTTGTTTTATACTTCCCGATGACAGCCAATTAAAATTTTGGCGCGACCTCTCCACCTGTGCGTCGATTAAATTAATCGAATCTTCCACTCCGATATCTTTCAACTCTATCGATCTTCTGTCGTTTTATTTCATCCCTCGTTTCTCACGACCAGCGAGAAATCGACGACGAAAATACACGCGAGAGGAGGGACTTTGTTTCGCGGTCCCAAGGATAAGAAAATAAATCTGGCATTCGGATACATCCGGAAGAGCTGGTCGCTTTCTTTTTCAAAAATACAACGAATTTTCCTCGAGGTTCCTTTGTGCCTATGCAACGCGAGAAGCGAACGTTTGCAACCTCTCTGCTGCTCTGCCGTTGCATCCATAAATATCCACGTGTATCCGGCGCACGCGCTGGTATCCGCGGAATCTTGTTGTTTCCCCGTTGTTTATTACGACGATGAGCGTCGAGACATTGGAAAGAATTTCTTTCAACAAATCTGGAAGTGAATCTCAGCTGAAAACGCAGTGAGAACGCGGCAATAATATTTAATAACAACGCCTATTGTCTCAGCGTTCAGCAACGCCATATTGGAGAACCGTGGCTTATCACGCACGGTTGACGAACAGCTCCACCATTAACTAGCACTTTGACTTCCCACTTTCGAAGAAGATTAAGATCAGCGACTTCCGTGATTCTCTCGATGGACTCGGATCGAAGGGAGGAACAACGAATTTCGAGAGGGGGCATTTTGAACTGAGGGTTTTGTTGGAAGTGATTATAGGGTCGGGAAGATCGATGGACGTACTCGAAACAACAATATCAGTGTTCGACTAGGGGGAAAACCGAGGACGATAACGGTTTTTGGCAGGCGAACCGTGCCAGGTATATTCCTCTCCTTTCTGGCCACGATCCAGAGCAACTTTCAGACTCGTAAGAACGTTTCTTTCTTAATTGTTCGATTTAAACTTGTCTTTTTTTCCCTTTTTTTTTTTTTTTTATTATCACATCTAAGAGTGACACTGAAATTTTTTATAGAAAGACTGGCACGAAAATTGACTTCAGAAGAACAAGCTAAGCAAACCTAAGTGGTTTTTGAAAAGGTCGAGTGTTTTAACACGATTCAGAGACAATGACGAGTGGCTGTTCGACGTTCCAATGTTCTTCCTACATTCGATACGTGATTTGAAGAGCGTTCCGATTTACTAACACCGTCGAAATCGTTGCGAGAGGGGACTCAAAGGGAGGCAAGTAAGTTCGACGACAAAGACGCGAGAAGAGCGTCGGTCGATGCTCGGGGTGGAAAAAAAGACTCGAGGCATGCAGAGACGACCTCTACGCAAGAGAGATCTTGAACTCGTTCCGAGACAAAAGTGCAGGAGTCGACCGGTCGAACATCCTCCTAGGGAAGGAGGAATTTGGACGGCGACCAAAAACGCCCGATATAAGAAGCCACCCAGAGTGGCGGGAGAACGTGCGAGAGAAGACGGCGAACATCGTCGGCGTGGACTCTCTCGAGGTTTCTCGAAAGCGTCGTCTCTCGTTCAGTCCCAATTAGACGCCCGTTCCAGGAAAACGTGGCTAGCCTCTCGCGATTTCCCTCGTGCACCAAAAACCGTTTGTCGGTCTATCGAAGTTCTCGACTGGCTGACAAGTCTTCGCTCGACTTCTTCAAAATCTTCTCATTCGCTTCTGATCTGTATCGCACTCGTCGTTCAAGGTCAAACTTTCGCGAACTATCGTCGAAGCAATTCTTCGGGTCAAGTCAACTGAAAGGTAATTACGAATAATCGTCGTAGGCATCGACTCACCTGCGCCTTGTTCTGAACATCGTGCCCGGTCCTCCAAGTGTTGATGGCCGGCTGTCGTGGACCCCGTTTATCGAGCAACAGCTCGCTCGGGCACTTCTCGAAGATCAGAACGCGTTCCGCGACGGATCCTCTGGTGAGAAACGGTCTGATGGGATTGTTCCCGGTGCCAGTCGCAGCGGCAGCCCTTATGTGCTGCTTCTGCTGCGTGGTCAACTCCGGATGGGGTACCTGCTCGATCCTCGGTCTAGGAGAATTGATCCTGGGACCCCATCTGGACGTAACGGGATCCTTCTCCTCCTTGCTAGCCTCTTTGTCCTTTTGTATCTCCGTTTCGAACTTGAACCTCGTGGTCGATACCAGCTGCTCCGTGGAATTGAAACTGTTATTTGTCCTCTGCTCCTCCAGTCTCTGCTGAGTCGGAGGATTTTGCTGAGCCGCCCGGTATCTGACTTTCGCGTAGTCCACCACGGACATGTTGGACAAATCATCTTTGCTGAGAGACTTCGCGTCCGATGTGGCGCTAGCGTTGCCGGCAGACGTCGCCGGAGATACGACGCTGTTCACCACCGCGGCGGAAGTGGTCACCAGACCGGCCGCGTGATGATTGTGACCGATGATTATCGGCTTGACAGGCTCCACCTTCGGTTTTTCCCTCTTTATCGCCGGTTTCTGGCGAGTCAGCGGCACCGTTCGCTCCGCGGGCTCCTCCGTAATCACCGAGCCGGTCTTCAGGGCGTTTATCAGTCTTTCCTCCTCGCGAGCAACCTCGTCGAGGTAGACGCTCGAGTTAGAGCTGCTGTTTCTCTTCTCCTCCTTGTTGGTCAACGATTTCACTTCCTGCTGAGGCGATCTGCAAGGATCCGCCGCTCTCTTGCTGTCGTTCAGTTTGTTCTTCAAGGGCCACGTGGTCAATCCTGAATTCGTCGGCGAGTCGTCGTGATTGGAGGCGGTAGGAGAAGTGATCACGGTGCTC